TAGCTTGGCACTCTTAATTCACGTCTAATCAGAATAAAGAGACAAGAAAAATGGGGTCGCGGCAAACGACTCACACAATGCTTTTGTTTACCGTCTGGCAATCATCTTTGGCCTTTAAGCATCCGCTTTACCGATTGGCTAAGAATGACATCACTACTTGTGTTTCGTCATGGAGGTAAATTCAACATCGCTTTTTTATCAGACTAGGCGTTCGTTCATCAATCACAAATATTTAATAAAGCCAAAACAACGTGCTTTAAACCACTCTCCCAGGTACGGGTTGCTACAATATTGCAACATTGGTTTCATTGTCGGCGTCGCTAACTACCAAAACAGTGGTGAACGGGCTGCTCTATTTATGTCACAGCTATTTCGCGTTCACTCCTCGTTTTACGCAATTGACATTTATTTTTCAAATTTTGTTATCAGAATCAAAACAAACTGCAAGAAGTACACTGTTAATACAACGAACAAAAATAGGTTTTGTTTTTTTAATTTTATTACAGGTGTAGAAAAAACACCCCTGGGCGTTTGCTAGGATATGACCTCAACTCCTTTATTTTATCAAAAGTGGGGGGTGGGCGTTTGTCCGGGCATGGGCTCTTAGCCGGATAATTACGGTAAAATAATAAATTTTTTTAACCGATCCTAGAACTAGTAGCTAGCTCCTCCTTTGGACTACATTTGTATGTTATTTACTGGTATATTATATTATTATATCAGCTCAGATGAACTTATCTTAAAATAAGATTCTTAAATATGGAGCTACATCATGATCCCCAAACGCTGCCAGGACCAATTACAAATAAGGATATACAATGAATTTTCGAATCAACAATTCTGCTTTCTCCAATGCCAACGAACAAAACTTTTGTCTTCGACTGGCTTCCTGTTCCTGTCTTATATTTATATATTGACCATGCGGCTACTAGAAAATTTTAAAACTTTTTTTTTTTTTAAACTGGCTTTAGCGATCCTCAGGGATGGAGTACTCACACGATGTTCCACGTTGCTAAGACGCGCACCACTGTACATGCATTTCTATGGACTCTGGGCGCGCTGCTGTGGAACGCCGTTCGAGGTGGTGAAAATTCGAGAAAACAACACAAACTCAACTTTGAAGTAATCCCAAACAACCAAATTTATTATGTTACACACGTAGGGCTAATCCTGTTACACTGTTCAGAGGAGTCTCAACAGTCATCCCAAAGTACTGTTTTCTGGAGTTTTGGGCCTTTGTTTTCACCGCCTGGGTTGCCAGGCGGTGAAAATGCCCGGATGTCCGCCCCGAGGATTGTAGCTTTCTTGTATGCGTTTCTTTCAATCCTATGTTAATGTCTTGCTTGTTATGCAAAGGGTTATCTCCCATCTTTAGTAGAGAAGCTGGCTTTAACCACAGTCTCCCTAGAGGGACTGTGCTTTAACCTTTAAGACCAGTTATGTATAACTGATTCTAAAGGTCATATTACATGCCCAAATGTTATCTTTTGATTCAGACGAATCAAAAGCTATTGAATGTTTTCAATTTAAAGTAATTTTGATCAGATAAAATCAATTTAATGATTTTTATATAATTTGTCATTGCAGGTGTAAGTAATGATAACATATTTGCACTGTATAAGGAGCAATATAGATGTGCATATACCCTTGTTGTATACTGAATTATTGAAATTACTTATTTTGATCATAGAAATA